TGTCTCTCTCTATGACTGCCTTTTTCTTTTAATATTCCTGCCCTTGAACAAAATCCCTCACATTTAAATTGGTCTCTTCTTCTACAGTCACCAAGTGTGACATTGTTCTATAATAAGAAATATACAGTTGGTCTTTGTCCCTTACTCCTGGTCAGAGCTCCTAAAACCCTTGCAATTTTCTTAGTGATAAGGGTGAAAAGTGCATCTTTTGTTATTCACGAAAAGTTCCTTTCAACAACATTTGAATTTATGTTAATGAGGTGATTTTGGAAGTAAAAGTGTGATTAGAGGGTTGGAACTTTCAGCCCCAGCTCCTGACCTCTGAGGAGAGGACAGAAAGATGGAGGTTGACTTATCACCAGTGGCCAGTGATTTAGTCAATTAAGCCTATATATGTAATGGAACTTCCATAAAAACACCCTGAATGTATGAGTTCAGAGAGCTTGTGGGTTGGCAACCACAGGCAAGCGCTGGAGGGCAGCATGCCCAGAGAGGGCGTGGAAGCTCCACGTCCCACCCCCATACTTTGCCCTAAGCATCTCTTCCATTTGTCTGTCCCCGAGGTGCATTTTTTATAATAAATTGGTAAACATAAGTAAATGTTCCCCTGAGGTCTTTGAGCTGTGCTGTACTAGCAAATGTATCAAACCCAAGGAGGTGGTCAAGAGAACCTCCGATTTGCAGCCCGTTGGTCAGAAGCATGGGTCACAACCTGGGGCTTGGGACTGGCATCTGAAGTGGCGGCAGTCTTGTTGGATGGAGCCCAGAACATGTGGCATCTGTGCTCACTCTGGGTAGTTAGTGCTAATGTTGAATTAAATTATAGGACACTCTGTTGGTGTCTGCAGAGAATTGGAGAATTGGGTGGTGTGGGGAGAACCCCCACATGTCTTGCGTCAGAAGTGCTGTGAGTGTGCGAACAGATAAAACAGCAGTTCTTTTACCAAACGTCTCTTCTTTGATGTTGACCAGGGGCTATAATCTTTAGCCCTTCATAGCTTTATAATGATCTTCTACATGGACCTTTCTAAATAAAGATTACTTCCAGGTAGTCTCTTTAAATCTGGCTTACTGGCACAATGGGCTCAGGTTCCTTCATCTTCGTTATTGGGACAAGTCACAGCAACTCCTCCAGGGCCCCACATCTGGTTAGGAGCTCAACAAACTCCCCTCCTGGCCTTCTCCATGTTCTTCCACATTTCTTACTTGATTCATGAATTCATGAACTTGATTTGGGAACTGGAGCCCCTGACCTCCCTTGTCTCCTTTTCCTCTTAGCAGATGAGACCCAGTTTCTATCCAGGTGTTATTACCTTGTTCTATGCTTAGGCGGATGTCAGACCTCTCCTCTCTTTCTTCGTCATCACTTTCGTGGGGATACAATTTGTCTTGAATTGCTGAAGAGTGAGAGAGAGAAGAAGGCAATTAAAGATATCCCACAGAGACCAGGGACAGCATCTCGAAATTCCACATTTAGAAATTTCCAGACCTCATGTCATCTCAGAGCTCAGTAGGTCCCACATGACTTAAAATTCTCCCATCATCCTCTGGGATATAAAACAGCAGACCCAACAGGGGAGCTTTTGTGTTGCCCATACAGATAGGAGACACTCGCAATTTAAGGATAGGGGAGTAAACATTGTGAACTGCATCACTCACCTAAAAACAATCAGGGATGGCAGAGAAAGCATATATAAAAATAAGTAGTACAAGTGAAATGTGTTTTGTGAACTGTTCGAACCGTATGGAAGAAACAGGGATTTTTCTCAGGAGAAGGTCTAGGATCCTGGAGAGATCCATGTATAAAAGCTTTAAAGACGGACCTAGAAAAAAGAGTTTTGGCTTCATACCTTGGTCAGGGAGGATGAGCGATTCCCAAATACAACAGAAGACACAGGGGCAACTCAAGGAGACAACAGGGTCCAGGAGATGGCAGCATCTCCCCCAGGGCAGGTGAGCAGTGAGCCCGTGGTGTGGGTCACCCAAGCAAAGGGAGGGCTGAAAACTAACACCTGTGATGTGGGCACTGGGGCCAGGGAGGGAGATCTGTGCATGGCGAGGGTCAGAGTCCCTGAGATGTGGGCAGTAAAGGTAACATCATTCCCTTTGCATCCAAGAACTAGGGACATCCTGGTTACAAATACTGACTTAAAATCTGTACTCAGGTATTTTATTTCCTTTATGCCTTTTCTGACTGACCTGAATGACTTGCAATAGAAATTATTTTATTCTTAATTAGATAAGGTTACTATTGACACTAATCAACATGCCATACATGCCTGCTTAAAATTTTTTTTTTTCTTGCTTGTAAACCTTTGGTAACTCTTTATTGCCTAGTAAATAAACTTCAAATTCCTTAGCTTTACATGCCAGACCCTCCAAAATCTTCCTCCAGTTTTTCCCTCTTGAATCAGCTTCTATACTGCTTCTCACTTCTGGACTTAGCTAAATCAAATTTGTTCTGTTTCTCAGACATCCTTTCACACTTTTAATCCAGTTCCCATAGCATCTGGAGGGCATGAGCCTGTTTTCTCTTATGATGTCTTTATATTTTATTTGGAGAAGTTGGTTGAGACCAAACTGTGCTGGAATAAAAATTTTTTAGGCAAGTAAAAAATAAAAAAATAAATAAAACAAAATAAATGGAGGGCATCCTCTTTATTGTGTACCAATAAAAGAGTGTAAAT